GACCCAAACACTCAACAAAGGCAAAGATAAATCATTTTTGATATGGTATGAAACTTATGAAAAGATGAATCTTGGCTGATATGAATTTTTGTTTCTTGTAGGGACTCTTCAGAAGTTGAGGCTGAGCAAAAGATGCTTGAGGAGGTTAATTTTTGTTTCCCACCCACTTTTTCACATCTTTTCTTGCCTTACTTTTGAATGTCAGACTTGATCATCTCTGCATAGTAGAAACTCGAAATAATACTGATATTTTTGTTTCAGGCCATTAAGAACGCTAGCGAGAGAGAAAGGAGATCCCTATTGCGTGCTGTAAGATATACTAATATCAACCCTATTTGTTTTTTTACAGAATATCCAGTCTCTCTTCTCTCCTAACTTTTTCAATCTAATCATGACGAATCTTGAAATAAAACATGACTATTGATTTGTTAGGCATGATTCATTTCCTCTTTTGTGCTAAAGGCAATACATATATTGTTCATACCATGTTTGACATAATGTCCTGTTAGGTAAACATGCATGTTTTTCTGATCATTCTTTCTACTTTTACTATCAGATGAACAACAAAGGTAAATCTAAAAGTTCAAAACAAACTCTGGCAGATACAAATGATAACAAAGTAGGACAATTATTTCCAAATGCATCCCTGGAAGATTATGCCAAAAAGAATGGAGTTGCCGGGAAACATGATGATGATAAAATTTGTGATAGCAAACATGATAATGACGATGAAAGTGAGGAGGAAGTTAATGATGATGAAGATGATAATGATAGTGCGAATGAAGAATGTGACGAGGATGACAGCGACAAAGATGAGAACTATCATGATCAAACAAATGCCAAGAAGGAATGATTAAGGATAATTGAGTATGTCATTTTTGACCGTGACAAAGATGAAAGTGTGGCCAAGGAGGATTAAGGATATTTGAGTATGTCATTTTTGCAGAAATTACCTTGTAGGAATACCGACTTCTTTGTAACTTGTTTTCCCATATTTATTACTAGATTTTGGGTGAATTTTGTTTTTGTGGAATACAAATTTTGAATTTTATCTTTCTTCTGTCAATCAAAAGTAACAAAAATAGATATTAAGTATCTTCATTGAGTTACAATGAATAGATTTGTATGAAAATATGATATCAGTCTCGAGTGTTCTTAACTTTTGAAGTATAATAATTGATAATATTGTTGATTTTCAGCTTAATCAAACACTAATTGATTCCTGATCTTTTCTTCTGAGCTTTATTTTCGAAGTAGCTGCATTTTCAGTTACATGGATTATTCTGAGCATGACTATGGTTTATTATCAAAGTAGCTGCATTTTTAGCTACATGGATTCACTGCACTTAATCTTAGAACTCGGTAATACGAGAGACACTCAAAGGTTGAGATGTATTTTAAATTTTATTAGGTTTAACGTTTTTGAGGAGATTAATATTCCAAAAGTGTCTAAAATAAGGAGACCTCTTAGCCCCCCTTGTTTTTCTTGTGATAGAGGATCTTAGTGCTTCCTTAAAAAAAATCTTGTTTCAATTAGGGCGTTTGAAGTAGGGGTAGCAAACGAGAATGTTCGTTCTGTTTAGACCTGTCTCGCAAAAGTCTGAAAAAAATGGGGTGGGGTTGTATAGTTGAGAGTGTGAGCCTAAAATCTAGATCCGTCACATAAAAAAGTGTCGGTGAGGTGGGAAAAGCCTGCGCGCATTTAATATTTTAAGCCTAAAAACATAAATGCCTAAAATCTAGATCCTCCGTCACATAAAAAAGTGTCAGTGAGGTGGGAAAAGTCTGCGCGCATTTAATATTTTAAGCCTAAAAACATAAAAATTTATGTAAACGCTATGTCCGCAAAAGTCCGCAGAGAAAACGGGACGGAAGAACATATTAGAGGGTGAAGGCCTAAACACTTGGTCTGTCCCGCACTAAAGTGCGTGCAAAGCGGACATACCAAATGGGCAGAACCCGTTTTGTCACTTGGTTTGAAGGCTTCAAGGTGGATCCAGATGAGTTTGTGGTGTCTCATTTTTAGTATGCGAATGACACTCTACTAGTTAAGGTCATATCTATTTATAACTTTTTGACTATCAAAGAGGTTCTCGAGTTTCAAGTTTGCTTTAGGGCTTAATGAATTTTGTCAAGAGTAGTCTGTTTGGGGTTAATGTGAGTAAGATCAGTCAGGATCTGGCAGAAGTTTTTCTTCGTTGTAAGATGAACTCCCTCCCTTTCAAATATTTATGGCTTTCTGTGGGTGTGACCCTGAAAAAAAAGAAGGGAGTTAAGATCTTCTTATTAAGCTAGTCTTTAAGAGATTAGCCTCTTAGAGGAATAGATTTGTGAGCCTTGATTTTAGGGTGTACTTTTGAATTTGGTGTTAAAATCAATTCTTGTGTTCTTTTTGTCTTTCATGAAGATGCCAGTCTCGGTGTGGAGGAAGTTGGTGGATTTGCAAAGACGTTTTCTATGAAAGGCTCGAAAGGAGGAATAAAGGTTGCGTGGACTATGTGGGATAATGTGTGTAAGGCCAAAAAGGTAGGTGGTTTAAGGGTGAAATATCTTAGATGTGTAAATTTGACCTTGTTAAGTAAGTGGAGGTGGAGAATTCTTTTGAACTTGGAGTCATTGTGGGTTTACATTACCAAGGCGGGGTATGATCCCTAGGGTTTTGAATTTCCTTTGAAAGGAAGAGTGGAAAGATTTTAGAGGGTGTCTCATTAGTGGAGAGGCGTCTCTCTCCTTTGATCTCCACAAGATCAGAAGCCTATCTAGTTTGCCTCATCGTATGTTAAGTTCGTTGAGGACGACCACAAGACTTGGTTTTGGCCTGATGTTTGGGTGGGGAATTTCCCTTTGTGTGTTTCTTTTGAGACGATTTTTCTCACTCCCGAGCAAAAGTATCAGGTGATGGGCTATTTGGGTTTTTGGGTAGGGATGTCTAAGTTTAGAGTTTCAGGTAAAGGCGGTCTTTTCTTGTTTGGTAGGAGGAACTCTTTGTCGATTTGCTCAATCTTATCTCAAAAGTTGTTAGGCGTGATTAAGTAGATATTCATGTGTGGAATCCAGATCCCTCTAGGTTTTTTTTGGTTAGGCCAACTTATGCTATCCTTTTTGTTTTGGTTTGGGTCAAGGAAAGTAGGTCATAATGGGTTTTGTGGGGGCTTGCTAGGGTTTGGAAGAGTTGGGCACCTACTAAAGTTGTTGTATTCTCTTGGCCGTTGATCCATAATAGGTTTTCGATATGGAAGAATCTCCTGAGACGTCATATTCTTTTTTACTCTAGTAATGCGCAATGTCATGTGTGTGGAGCAGAGAGAGTCGATTGATCATCTCTGTGTTGTGTGAGGTTGCTTCAACCATTTGACATATAGTCTTAGGGGGCATGTCTTGTGTGTGTGGTATGGGGAGTCGGTTGATCAGGGCCTTTACTTTAATCGATTTTAGGGGTGTTTGAGTTGTTTCAATGTTTGGGTTATGGAAAAAAGACATCTTTAGCCTTGGTCTCGATTTGACATTCTATGATATGAGCTATTTAGAAAATGTGAAACAAAGTTATTTTTAGTCGAGAAAGTTTGACAGTTACTCACTAGATGTCCTCAATTATCAGCTTGACTTAGAAGTGGGTTCATACTCATGTTTTGGGATTTACTGTTTCTCTAGTTTACTAAGAGTGAAACCCACTCAAGTGACTAGGCACTTAGGGCGTGTTAGATGACTAGTTGTCTTTTTTTAGTTTGTGTTTTGTGTAGCGGTCGTGTTTTCTTTCCTCAAGCTTGCTTTCTCTGGAGTTCTAGTGTGTTTGTCGCCTTTTGGATTGCTTGGGTGGTTAGTCATTTTGGCGTGTTTTTTGTTTTCTTGCGGATTTATTGTTTTTCTTTTAGTGTTGTTTTTGTCCTTGTCTTTGCCAAGCTTATTCCTCTTGAGTACTCCTGGCTTTTTGATTCTAATAAAAATTTAACATTCTTAAGGGGAAATTTTAAAATATTGATACTTATCAGGAATTAGAGTATTCACTCGATTTTTATTGAGTGAAGTAGATTATGAATTGATTGCCATCTATGTTTGTAATATGACAAATATCATTTTAAATACCTTATCATGGAACTTGAATCTTCCAAGATTTTAAGTTTAAGTGTTACGAATGAACAAAACATCATTAAAAAAGACTGCAAAAAGTGATTAAGAGAATTGATTATCATTAAAGTTGAAGGATATTTTTGCATTAACATTTACGTGTTATTTAATTTAAATGTGTTTATATTATTTAGGATTCAATCCTGATGATAATATCTATGTATAAATATAAATAACTATAGAAAAATAACATTTAAAATTAAATAGTTATTTATGAGATTTATTTTCAAACTGTAAAATCCACATTGCCTTTCAGGCTTAATCCAATTTGCCATTGTTCAATCAAATCAAATTATTATTTATAACTTTTTTTACTATTATTTTATAATTTCAGAAATCAACACCTTTTTTGGCCTTTTTTACACATGCTGCTCTCCTAACAAATATTGGCTTACAGATATTACTATTAATAAAATAAATTACAGATAGTATAAAACCCAATGTAGATAGGGACTTATGCTGTCATTCAGATCTATAGAAATTTATGAGATGCTATTCACAATATCTACTACTTAGCAAAATTATATTTCTCTGTGTATCTATAAAATTCTCACATTCGTCTATTTAGGTACAGATAAGAAATTAGAGGGAAAATGAAAACCAAAAACAAACATGTGTAACTTTTTTTATATACACCTATGTATAGTCTCGTTCCTCCCACTGTACAATATCCATACCAATGCTAGAAAAGAATACACCTAAATCCAATGTAATTATCTAAAAAAATGAAAATAATATTTTTCTATAGTAGGAAAAATTCCATATCTATCCCATCCAATGAGTATTTCTTGAAAACCAGTTAGGATGGCTGCCTGCTTAAACTTTAGCAACAGATTCTATAACCACAAAAGGAACTCAGTTGAAGCATTTCCAGATTACTGACCAGCCGTTTCTTCATCTTTCTTTATGCATATGCGCTCTGAGTGAATGACAATGAAATACTGTTAAAAATGAGCTACAAATAGTCTACATAGATAAAATCATAATAAGCAAACAAGATTATGAACACAGACAGAATCTAATCAGAGAACAAGAGTTCTTACTCAGATATTCATAAACCAATACCATTGAAGTACCCCATGCTGACGTGCTGATCAATCTGGGACAAAATCCTCTATACACACCTTTCCAACCATCCTCCCTAATCAATTCTTTAACAACTTGTTTAACAGAGATTTTCTTTCCATGTCCTGTCACCTGTGGCGCAAGCCATTGAGTCAGAAAAAACTCAGGAGTCGGTTGATGCGCTAAATAACATGGCACTTGGATTAAATGATTACATTGTCATCACTAAAGCAAGAGAAAGAACATTGTCAAACAAGTCTATGAATACCTGTAACCGTGTCTTGATTGTATCGAGTGGAGTTGTAATGCACGATGTAGTAGCACCAGCAATGAGACCCCCTCCTGCCTGAACTAAAACAATCTTTGGCAAACTAGGAGTAGCTTCCTCAGATTTGACATCATCTTCCAAGAATCTGCCAAAGCAACCAGCGAAGATAATTATTTTCCTTAATATTGATGGTTTGCCTATTTATGCAGAAATAAAATCAACCATTTAAAAAAATTCATCTCGGGAAAAACTGGTTCAAGCTCTTGATAAATTTTCTGTAATTTTTCCCAACATTCCTCAGTTCAACACAGTTACAAATTCATGAATTTCAAACAGTGTAATTCTATCCTTTGAGGATGAATAATCCATTACATGATCTAACCAGGCTAAAATTCATATTCTGTATCAAAATTTTGACAGTTTTGGAATTATGCTATAATGAGACTTTACATATATCATGCATAATACGATTTACATATACCAGGCATATTACTTAATAAACCTTAGTGGTGAATGGAGTACAAAATTATGTGCTCAGTCAACACACAAATGCTACTAATGGCATAATAACCTAAGTGTCTAAATTTAGGTAACAGGTAAAAGAAAATTACGCCAGGTTACAGATATTGATTTTCTAATCATTTGATAGTTGATAAAATACATAAACTAAAGAAAAAGGTAATACAAAAGTGACCTCCATAAGAAGCGTTGACTTGAGCCGTAAGTTGCCCACCATACAGCACTAGATGGTGAATACGTTATAACAGATAGAGTAAACCCTCTGTATAATCCTCTGAAGCCCTCTGACCTTATCAACTTCCGAGCAACATCCAAACCACCACTATACCGGGCATGGCCTGAGTATCCTTGCACAATCAACTTTTGGCTAATCTGAAGGTAATAAGCATATAAGAATCAGTGAATGCTAAAACATTTTGATAAGGAAGACAATAATAGAATAAGAAAATATGATATTAAACTGATGGAGTTTTATGATGCAATAGAAAAACAAAGCACTATATTAATTGAGACTTATAAACTGTAATAAAGGCAGTCATGCTCAGCAGCTCAAGTTACACGGTTGGACAACATTACCACATCAGTTGGAGTATACACAACTTGTGACACAACCGACGCTCCCATGCCTGCAATGCCATTCGCTATGGCAGCTTGGCTAGTTTCAGATAGTTTAAACGGCTTAACCATCTTGAAGGAAGCTTCCTTTGTGGTCTCTAAGAAAGTGAGAAATATGATTCTGGCAGGTATTGTTCCAGTGATGACGGTGGCAAACCCTTTATACAAACCACGGATACCATCTTGCTTAAGCAATCCTTTCACAACAGAAGACACACTTCTCTCTGCAGTATCCTTCGAAGCAACCTGCATCCTAGTCTTCACAACAGAGACAGGGTGGAGTAACATGGTAACACCAGAAAATAGTCCAACTCCCCTTGCATAGAATTTCATTATATCTAACCTACAGAAACAAACAGCTTAAAGTTAATAAGGATAAGGAGCTTCACAATACTATAAAAAATGTTAATTGGTAACTACAATATTAATCCACACCAAGTTCTAGCTTCCATATAAGAATACTCACAAAATTTAGCATTTCAGTCAGTCTTTCAAATTTCAACTGTGATCAAAGTTACAACGACCTCATTATCTATGATATTATAGAAAACCACCAAAAGAAAATGCTGCTGATATGGCCACAATTGTAATAACTATGCAGTTGCACATGCCTATTATATAGTATCATATAACCAATGTTTTAAAAAGCCGAATCAAACACCAAACTGTAATGACATTCAGCGCATCGCTCAACTACTTTAAACTACTCGAGCCGATACAAAAACACAATCGAATTACTGAAATAACCAAACCGATTCGGCTCAATTTTTAAAACACGGCTTAAAAACTTCACATTTTCCACCATAATTGCGGTTGCACATACCACAATTTAACCTAGAATCTTGAATAAATCTTTTCAGCTTCATAAGCATTCTGAAGCAGTGATTATTACAACTAATTACTACTTTTTTTCCTTTTTAGTAAATTTTCTTCCGTTTCTTCCATATATTTAGAGAATCTTTGATCATATGAACAGTTCATGAAACAAATATAACAGAAAAGAAAATTGAATAAAAAGATTGAAAGAAAGGAAACAAAAATCGGAAATGAAGAAAGGAAGTAGCATGATACCTATCCCAGTTAATCTCAGGAGCAGCCATTGGAGAAGAGAGTTGAGAGTTTGCAGAAAACGGTTTTTGAATTTCTTGTTACCGTCTGTTTGGTTGAGAGTAAATGGAAGGGAGGGAAGAGAAAATTTTGAAGAATGAGAAGAAGTGAAAAAAAAGCACTTATTTATACTAAAGAATAAGATGAAAGAAAAATCGATTAATGATTGGTTACTCTTGTTATTTATTTTTGGAGCCAAAACAAGCTATTTTATAGGGTCACAAAGAATACTTTATTTTACATTTTTATATTTCTTTATGATATTAAAATTATTAGCACAATTAATTTTTGTCTGTATTTATTTATATTTCTATGGGAATTATTTTTTGTTTGGATTTAATAATATTATGAGATTAAAAAGAAGAGCAAATTGTAGAGTAATTATTGATTTAACTAATTTCTAAGTGTATATATATATATATATATATATATATATATATATATATATATATATATATATATATATATATATATATATATATATATATATATATATATATATATATATATATGAAATGAAATAAGTAATTTGTTTACCAAGTTTTAGATTTTAACTAACTTTGAATGACCTCGTAACCGTTTTGAATTATCTAACTAACTTCAGTTATGTAACATTTAATGATATAGTGAATTTGTTTACCAAGATCATTTATTTTGAAAAGCTAATTCATAAAGGATTTGATTCCTGCAAACTCTTTTAAACATTTAATGATATTCAATCATTAGTGAATTTTATATTATATTTAATTGTTTTTTTACTACTAATAATTTTTGTTTTTGTAAAGTTTTAATCTGAATTCAAAGCATTAAAGCATTATGAAAAGGCTTGATTCGATTGAAAATTATTCTAACTCGATAAGTTCTATGAGCTATCAAGAAAAAAATATAGAAAACATGTTAGCTTTCAAGGGGCTAAATTTTTACTAAAGAAAAGATGCTTTGGAGTTCTATGAGTATAGATTGATGATTCATTGTCATGGGGTTACACCCATTGATCGGAATGTCATTTAATTCGAAATGAATTTGATGTAATGGCACATGTAACATATTTCACACAGAAACTTAGAAGTAACACTTGAATACTCTTATATGCCTCAAGCAGAGGCTGATGAGAAACAAATCTGATACAAAAGTTATCAAATTCATAGAGAATAAGGCACAAAATGACTATCATGAACTCACGGATAGAGGTTCCATAATAAAATAAGCGGCACTTGACACTTATAATACGATGTTAGTAAATTATAAATAAATAAAGGTCTAAATCAGCGTACTGATAAGACAACACGCATATTCCACCATAGAATCACAACATGTACAATAGACTTTGTTAGATGATGACATTGATCTAAAAGAGGAGGTTGAATAGATCACTAATTTGTAATAATTTGTGCTTAAAAATTGTTTTAAAAGCGGCATCGGATCAAAACTTGTCTAAATGAACCATTATTGAAAAGATCGAATATGCGAAATTGAATGAAATGATTTTGATGAGATAGTAGAATCAATAAATTTTTCAATCAATTATTCAAATAAAAGCCATTTAAAATGAACCAATTTTCAATAGTTAATTAACGATAAAATTTGAATTGATAATATATCGAACCGTTTGTGTGTTATCAATATATCAAACATTTGGCGTGCAAAACACACCAAGTCAAATTTTCTTTGACTTTGTAGTGCATAATTTTTCACACTTGCAATCAAAGTGATTGCAATATTTTTTTACAGCAGTTTTAAAACACCACAAATCAATTGAAATATTGCTAACAATTGATTTTACACAAAATTCAACAACATAAAAATAAAGAGATAGAGAAAGAAAGAACGACACCCGATTTGTTTAGACAGTTCCCCTTTTGTCCTCGTTTCGGATACGTCTGTCCCCAATTGTAAAAATAGAATTGAGATATGTATAATATCTGTGTGCAATATTCAGTACAAGAGAAGTCCTAGCTAACCAACAATCTAACCACTTCTCTCCCCTTGATTCCAGCTGAATCAAGTGCATCAAACACTTCGAACAAACCTCTGGTTACCGCTACTTACTTGACCGAACCTTCTGTTCTTCAAGTCTTTCACTCGGCTAATTTCGATTGCAAGATGTTTGACCCCAAATCTTTCAAAATAATCCTCTGGTTACCGTTATTCACTTGACCAAACCTTTCGTTCTTCAAGTCTATCACTCGACTGAATCTGTGATGCAAAGACTTGTGCAAAAATCCCCCAAATCTCTTAAGATCTTGAAGGACAAAACCCCTATGGTTTTATTCAAGAAAATCCCACTGAATCTCTACCCAAACTTAATTTACAAATCCTACGTTTGGACGTTATCACTCTTGACAAAGCACAATCAATAAAGATCATTATGTGTGATTATTGATGAATGGAATTGTGAGAGTGAAGATGAAGAGCATTGCAATTTATCTTTCAATTTCCTTGTTGTTTTTAAAAGTGATGCATATGAGTATATATATGTACATGAATGAGTAATAAAAAAAACTGATTTTGAGAACACAAAGACACAGAAAAATGGGTAAATACACACAAGAGGTCGACCTGAAGTATCTATTAGTCGACCTAAACAATGCAGTGACTAAAACTACATAAAAGTTGGTTCATGCGTCGACCTGCAAGGGAGCCATGCGTCGACACATGCAAGGCAGAAACGTTCAAACTTGTTTCTTACAGTATGTGTCGACCTTAAGGGGACCATGTGTCGACCCAGGGTCGACGCAAGCGAGGCAGAGAATTTCAAAATATTTTTTCTACAGTGTGAGTCGACCTATGACCACTACGAGTCGATCTAAGGCTCAAAAAATAACTCAAAGACCATTTTTGACATTGTGTATGATCCTATAGGTCTAAAACGTGAATAAGGATATTTATGCACATTTGCAAGAGATGAATGCATGGTTTAGACAATGTGATACCGTCCAAAATACACAAGTACCGACTATCTTAGTTTTGACATCATTAAAACATAATACAAAAGAAACCTTGCCCTCACATACTCTATATTTCAACATTTTGAAGGTGTCTTAAATTTAATTTTATGTTTTAACATGTTTTTAAATTTGAATCATAAATAAATTTTATTTTATTTATTTGCATAATAAACTTCATTTTGATGCTTGTTTGATGCGCAAATTATAACTTGATCTACGAGTATTAGATTGAGGATATCGAGTAGGCGTTGAAAATCTAAGAGTAAAGACTACAACTTCCATATAGATTATGTAAGCTATTTCAGAGTGTTGATAATCTAAGAGTAAAGACTACAACTTCCATATAGATTATGTAAGCTATTTCAGAGTGTTGATTAGTCATTTATTTGTTTTTCGTACTAAACTTAAAGTAAAGTTATAAAATTATGTTTCTTTTTTGTTATTTTATGTCTTTGGGCTTGGTGCTCTTAAGGCCCAAAACATTTGTTGTTTTTTAAAATAAAAAACGTAGTCATGAATTACATAATTTATTTTATGAAATTTGTAAGGAAAACAGAATCGTACTCTAATGTTCAACTATAGTTTACTGCCAACATGATGTTTTATCTGATAATAAGAACTCAAATTCAACTAGGATTGATTGTCACTTATTTAATTTACTCTATAGTCAAATGAGAATAGGATTGAAAATAAAAATTGACCCCTAAGAATCGATAGGCAAGAAATCTCAATTTAGTTGATCAAACCTCTTCATAACTATACTGAAATTTAGGTAATTGAATTAGAAGTTCATGCAATACAATTCGAGTATCACTTCCCTAAATTACATTTTTAATAATTTTTTTTTACTAGTGTGCGACTGGTGATCAAATTGATGTTATTGCATGAGATACTAATAATGTTAGTTATAGAATTCTAGTTTTAGAGTTCTACTAACCATCCTAAATTTGTTTTTGTATTTTATTGATTTACAAAATTGTAGTATATATAGTAGTAAGTATTCTCGCATGTCATGGAGGTGATATGTGAGCTAATGTCTCGGATTGTTTCGAATTTTTCACATGAAAATACAAATAAATCAATGAACAAGACTCCTTAGAGAGGATTCTAAAAAAACTCTCAAATTCCTTTGTTTATCTTTATCTTTGAATTTTTGTATCTTAAAAAAAAATCGTGTTATTGTAATTTAATTGTTAGAATATTTTGATATTATTTTTATAATTTTTAGATTTTATTTTAATCGTTATTTTTAGTTTCCACTTTGATTTTTGTAATAGGGACATTGTTAAAAAAATTTGCTATTGTTGAATCCTACTTTATTTAATTTTGATAGTAAATTTATTAATCATAATACGGTTGAACATGAAAAAACTTTAAGATATTTTATTGCACCTAATGTCACTTATCATCCATTATGTATTGAAGATCTTTAACATGCTATCATTTGAATTCATTGTTTGATATATTTATTGCTACAGTTTGATATACACCACTGAAGCCTAAGGGAGTCACATAGGCTAATATCAACAAGAGAGCTTTTCCATTCTCACTATAAGGCGTTGCAAAATATTAGTTGTACTACCTTCTTGAACCAAACTTCATAATAAGTTAGATTGATTTAAGAAGCTGCTTCTAAAGAGATATTTTCCTGCTTTAAGATCTGATTCGATCAAAAAAGAAATATGCGACATTTATCAGATTAACAGATAATCTTTGAATGAGCATTAGGAGAAATTCTAGAAACTAGTGTCAAGTTGTCCTTAATACTAGATTAGCGAACAACTATTTATCTAATATTTTAGTGAAAGCCTGTTTTCTATGAATAAAAACATCTTAGATACTTCTAATGAAAGAGCGATTTTTGATAAGAGTCTAAAAGTGGCAAAAGGCTAGAAAGGCGCCTATCATTTTAAGTAGACCGGTCTTGAAAATTGTTAGAAAAATTGATATCAATGATGAAACTCTTTCCATAGAATTCGGTGATAGAATCATAAAATAATTCGGTGATGGGGTTCAGATGGGAGGATTCGAAATTCAATAATTAG